AAAAGACTAGGGGTATCCTTGATAGTTGGGTACATTCGACGAACTTACACCAGGAGCCGGATTACCACCGCCACGCACACCACCTGAAGGACATTTACGACGGTCGTGTCCTATTTGCGAGAATATACCACATTTACGCGCATAAACGGTGTCACCAACATCCATTTGGTTCCGTATACGCGTTCTCTTTTGCACTTGCAGCTTGCGCAAATAGTCCTTGTTACATACCATCTTAAAAGGTTCCGACGGCCAATAATGCTCAGCACCTAATGGTTGCAACTTCCCATTATACGTGTCTACGTATGCAGCAACACTGTATTGCCTATCAATATAGTTTGTTGCCCCATATCCAACTTGTTGAAAGTACTTCAACGCATGTGCGCACGATATGTGGTAGATGGTCCATTTCCCACATGAACATAACCTTCTATTTTCATTCACTGTATGTAGATTATTCCCACGGTGTCCGCGGATAGCGGTCTTAACTTCAAAAACACCCCGTTTATGATCATACTGAATAAATGAATGTCACTGTGCTCGCCTCCTGGACCTTTCAAATCTTCTCATGGGTATTGACATAAATTGAACACTCATGTCCATCAATGCTGATGCAGCTGCATGCCTTTCAACAAACCTCTCTGCACTCTGTTTGAATGTCATGCGGACCATGGCAGTGACAGGTAGTCCACGGGCAGACTTCAACAAGCCGTTGAATGACTCCGACACGTTTGTAGTGAGGGCTCCCCATCGTCTTCCGCCATCAGCATGTAATGTCCACATGTGAAGCTCATGCCCCATCAACCAAGTATAGGCTCGTGGTTCTAATTGCCGGATCGCTTCCATGCGCCTCGTGAATTTGTACTGCTGGTGCTCAGTTGCAGCCATCCACATTAAGTCATGCAATGCCTTGTCAAGATATTTCTTCTGGAAATTGGCCTTCAGGTGACGCACACAGTAACGGTGGTATACATATGGTTCCTATCATTCAGGCAAGTGACGTACAGAACTTAAAATACCACCATGCCGATCTGATATTAGACAAATACCTGAACGCTGTTTGACAACGTGCTACTTCAAGTAGTTCAAAAAAAGCGTCCATGTCTCTTCACTTTCGTTGGCACATATGGAAAAAGCTAGTGGAAATATTTGCCCGTTGGCATCTACTGCAACTGCAATCAAAATCTTAATATCATACTTTCCATAGACATGAGTACCGTCTATGGAAATAATAGAAAGAAAATGCACAAAACCATCAATTGTTGGTTTAAATGACCAGAACACATAGTTGAAAATATATTACGGTCTGTCCGGACTCCGCTCACGCCTCCATTCAACAACAGTCCCGGGGTTAAAGTGTTGCAGTGCGGCCATGTACCTGGGCAGATTTGAAAAGACTTATCCCAATCGCCATAAATAAGTTCAAAGGCACGTTTGCGACCGAGATATGCCTTTCTTTTGGTTATAGTACAACCATACTCCTGGTGGACTGCTGTAATACACTCTTTAATCTTGAACCTAATGAACACTTTCAAATATGGAATCAAGACAAGAGAAATCAAGTCCACATCCAAGTTGAAGTGATTCTCATTATATGTGTCCATTTCACATTTGTGCTCACTAATAAATTTACCCACTTTCCACAAACCTGATTTCTTCTTGGTGGCACGCAACATCCAGTGACAACCCATAAAGTCTCTACGACATACAACCTTGTATTTCTCCGTAGTTGACTCACTTACCGTCATCTCACGGCACTCTCTTATACTGTAGATTTTTATAGCCCTAATTAAGCGAGCTTTATCAGGGAAATACATGCCCTTTATCAGAACAGCTGGTCTAGACTCATCCCACTTCGCTGACCGAAATTCATCATCATCCCTTGTGAGGGCATCCACGTTCGGCATGCTTGGAAAATTATCAAGGTAGGGAATATTCCGCTCATGAAATGGTACGTGGGACTCGTACACTCTTGGTCTAGCGGGAGGTGGAGAAACATGCTCCTTCGTCAGCTCAGGTTCAACATTCACTTCCTCCTCATCATGGAAGGGTGTGTCATCTCTAGACTCATCCGCATTGTTGCCATAATCAATATCATCTTCCTGACTCTGCACATCTGCCAAATCACGAGTAAATACGCCATCTATGGGCAACTGTGTGAGGTTAGGAGCTTCAAGAATCTCGTTTTCACTGCACAAAAATAACAAAATGATAATATACCCAACTAGATAAATACTTTAGATATAGCTATATCACTTTACTTACAAGTCGTACTGTCTTGACGTTTCATGATGGATATTTGCTTGTTGGTGATGACTCCCGGATGGACCACCGTGGTCTAATACTCCAGAACTACACATATTCCAACTAGGGGCGGGGTCATAACTTGTAAAATTCGTATCCGGACGGTACCCCCTATGAAAAATATGAGTGTTAATACAAATCCAATTAAAACATAAAATAAACATCGCTAAAGCACCCACGGAATTGAAGTTTACCAGTCGTCTTGTTGATTATATAAAGTCGAAAAATTATTTTGCGGCTGCTCATTCGCTGGTGGTGACAAGTTTAAATCAAGGCAAGCTCTTTCATCAGCAATCTGTCCGGCAAAAACTGCTCCAGAATAACCACCCGATGACTGGGGGTTATCCCTACTATGCACGCCCTCATTATTGGGAACGTCTTCCACCTTGACGTACATTTCCAATAATTTTATTACAATAAATTCCCTATATTCATCCGGAATCAGCAAAAAATCTCTAAGAGTTTCATCATCCTCGATGTTAAACTCAGAATAATAAGCAAACCCCTGCGGAGTCACTGAATACGGAAATCTACCGGTTATTTTAAGGTTAACCGAACGCCACCTCTCATTCATTTTTTTACGTAACAACGATACCAATTTATCGTACTCCATAGTAAGCGGCAATTTAACATGACATTGTGGAGGTGAGCTATACCTCACAGAGTTATTCTCCAACACAACCTCACCCCCCCAATATAGTGAAACCCTTATTTTTGCCACTTCAGACATTGTAAAAAAATGATTGATAAGAAGAAGAGAGAAGTATGAACGTAAGTTTGAAGATTGAATGAATTTTCATAAAATTGAAACGCCTTTAAATAAGGCAAGTCCGAATGTAAAACGCAGTACAATACTACGTTTTATGTATTAAATTATTGTTATGTCAGTTCATTATTGGTGGGCCAAAAGCAGAGTAAAACGTAGTATAACCCTGCGAACAACCTTATAAAACGCAGTATTATACTGCGAATTACAAAAAAAATAAAATAAAGTAAAATGCAGTATGGTACTGCGAATTACAAAAAAAAAATTTAAAGTAAAACGCAGTACCATACTGCGTTTTACTTTAACGGACTAATTTCCGTTAACGTAGTTCGCAGTATAGTACTGCATTTTACTCATTTATGTAACTTTTTTTTAAGCAGTATAAAAGTGGTTTTTGTCAAAAAAAAAAAAAAAAAAAAAAAAAAAACAGCAAAAGCATTTTGGACTCTCGTAATGTGCTGTCGGGACCGTGCTATGCACGGGCTTGCGTCATCTAGTATATATATATATATATAAACAGCAGCATCTGTGAAAATCTCCCGGCACAGAGCTGTTCTATAATTTGGCAGAGGCGCCTGCCAATAATCATGTACTACAGGTAGTGAAGGTATGAATTCGTTTGGTCATTTCCAGCTTCTTCTGTTTTAGTCAGCCTTTTAACAAATATTTGCTTATAGTGTTTAGGAGATTTCATTGTGTTTATGGTTTTTACAGTACGAATTAGTTCAATACTTTAAACAAAAGTGTTGACTGATCCCCATGTGAATCTTTGGGTGGATAAACTAGGGTTCCTAATTAACAAATTTGATCCTAAACCTTTGGACTGCTTTCTTTTGTCAATCTCTACCAATTTTATCATCCTGTTTATTCATAAAGATTAAGCATTTTATTCTGTATCAAACATTTGAAAACTGTGACATTTCCCCACCTATTCTGGAACAAGTTCTGATTTACTCATTTAAATTTGTTTTTTCTTCTTAATTATGATATAATAGTGGTTTTAAGAGAGAACTTCTAATAAGCTAGGAGTATTAATTAGCAGAAGGTTGAGGTGCAAAATGTATGCTCTCTCAAATTTTCAGCTTCTTTCTCTTAGAAAACTGTAATGATGTAAAGGTTTAGCTTGATTTTTTTTTTCGAAATGTGTTGCCAATAGGGTTCAACCCCTTGCCACCAAGGAGGAAAGTTCCACCTTTTGCCACTGGCACCTTAGCGTCTTTTTAAGTTTAGCTTGATTATTTTTTTGTTGAATATGCTTTCTTTGATCATGTTCTTTTGAAAATCATCCAACAGTTGCCATTGAATATGTTTTTTCTTGAAAAATATTTATCAAAGGAGAATATGTTTTTCTTGAAAAGTGAAAACCATCTAGGAGTTTACTTGTATTTCTGTTCACTTAATCACTTTTATGTTTTTGAGTTTCTTAGCTTATTTCATATGTAAACTAACAAAATTTCTCCACTGATGCAGTGAGCTTGCATGTATGATTTAATTGATTAAGTGGTACAATATTACTTCTCTAAGAATATTAGCTAATTAGATGATTGAAATCTTTCTTTATGTTTGTGTGCTTTCCACCAATTTGGATTACAGGTCCATTTTTTTAATCTTGAAAATGTTTTTACCTTTGCTGATGGGACATGTGGTGTTTACAATGCTTGAAAACTTTAGTATGCAGTAGAAATTATGTACTTAATGTTCTTGGCGGCAACTTTTGTCAAATTCCAGTTTGAAATCAAGAAGCTAGGTGGTCAATGGAATCGTGAGCAGCAGAGGAAGTAACTGAGATCAGCATCAGAGTTGTTCTTCATTTCTTGATTTGTTCTCGAAGTAAGAATGAGGATAGTCGGATTGACTGGAGGAATTGCTTCAGGGAAGAGCACTGTCTCCAATCTTTTCAAAGCTCATGGTATTCCTGTTGTCGATGCTGATATTGTAGCTCGTGTAACTACTTTTTCCTCTTGATTTATCTGTTCTTTTACTGGGTTTATTTAGTACATCAAGTATAAATAGTCTCAAAATATTACGTTTAATTAACTGTTGAATTTGGGCTCTACCTTCACAACTAGGGGTAAGGTCTGCGTACACGTCATCCTCCCCAGGCCCCACTTGAAGGATTACACTGGGTTTGTTATTGTTAACTGTTGAATTTCGGCATACCACTAAAATTTGTGTAAATTTTTGGATAAAGCTCTTTACTGAAAATATTAAATTATGTAGAACCTTTTGAAGAAAGGAACTGGTGGTTGGAAAAAAGTTGTGTCTGCATTTGGTGAGGACATCTTACTGGACAATGGAGAAGTTGATCGTGCAAAGTTAGGTCAAATAGTATTCTCTGATCCAGGAAAGCGTCAGCTTCTTAATAGGTAAAGTTTGTTATGAAAATGATCCACGTATGATTAGTTTTGTATTCAGTATTTCAATTGGATACCATAGTCAATCCAAAAGAAGTGGAAAGTAGTACTTCCCCCTATTTTTCTTATTTTCATCAGAGTAACACAGTGTTGTCAAAGGCGCACTTAAGCCTGAAGCGAGGCTCAAAACATGTTGAGCGCTTCGCCTCGCTTTGTGGGTGCTTTAGTGTCGCATCAAGGCTCTAAGGCATACTTTTCCTTGCCAATGAGTGTAATCCTGAAAATGCAACATTAAACATTTGATATCTCACTTTATCGTAATTTTTTTTCAATTTCATTGTCCATATATTTGTTATTCATGCTTATATTATTAGTCTTGGACTATATATGCATATTTTTACTTTTTTTCCAGTTGCGCCTTTTTTCATTAAAGCCCACGCTTTATTTGCGCTTTGCGCTTAAAGCCCCAAAGGACCTTAGAGCTTTTTTGCGCTTTTCGCCTTTGATAACACCAGTAACATTAATAAAAAAGGATTCAGGGCCATTCCTTTAAAACAATCAAAACTTACAAAGAAAGACTATGCATCTGAAAAACTTCTTCCTATAGCTGATTCTGGTTTGCTATGCTGTGATGAATTTGGAGTTTCCTTGAGAACTTGGTTTCTCTTTCCGCACTAACGAGACATTTTTTTCTGTATCTTGAGATTCCTCATCAACCAATTTTGGGAGTGACATTAAGGATGAACTTGGAGAAATAGAAACTACAAGTAAACACTAAATTATCAAACTTTTGTCTTTCAGAATATTAAACTAAATGTTTCTAACAGCTGTTATCAATGACATTTATTCGACTTTGGTCAGTAAAAAGTAATCCTCTTTTTTGGATTGGCCGATTTAGTAGCTCTTTGAAAAATGAAGGCCAATAAATCCCTCGTGCTTGAAGCTATCTCCATTCATAAAGGCATGTGAAGATAATTGCAAGATTGCTGCTTTCTTGTTAGACGAGATTCACTTTAAGTTGTGCTAACAGAACTACATTTGCTGTAAGAAAGGATAATTTATTATCTGCACTCAATCTTGAAGAGAAAGCGCTCTGCAGAAATGCCATTAAGACCAAATATGACACTACCAAAAAAACCCTCTTCTCACCATGGTCATGGAGTTTGGAAGCACATCAGCTCTATGGAACAAGTTTCACCCTCTTGCTAGCTTTCAAGTTGGGGATGGAGTAAGATAAGCTTCTGGAAATACATAAGGCTAGGTTATTCTCCCAAAAGCAATTCCCTCAACTCTTTAACATCTCCTCCAGTTCCAAGGCAGTGATTGCAGACATTAAATCTTACCAGGGCTGGAAATAACTATTAGGTGTGGACTTGGAGGGTGCTCCCTCTTCTAGAGCTCCTCAACAGTTGTATCGCCTTTCAACCAGGCAGGCAGACACCCTGCTTTGGAAGGGAAAATCCACTTGTCTCTTCTCCGTAAAGTTTAGCTGCAGCACTTTGACCAAACCCCCTTCATCCTTCTAATTGTGACCTTGGAAGAAAATCTGGAGAAATAAAGCTACCTATAAAGTAGAATGCTTTACATGGCTAGTAGCAAAGGAGGCCTACCTTCTCATTGTGCCGTTTTCGGAATTTTACAATGTCAGCACCAATTTCGCCTTTGTTGAGTACACTATAGCTTGCGAGGTCAATCCAATGGCAATGTAGCAATAGTTTTCAATTCTGCTGAAGTTGACACTCAAAAAGATCTTGGCTTCTTGAGATACAAGATAAGGAGCAGCAAAATGTACTTCAATGACAAAATATGTTAAGCTACTAATTTATTTCTTTTTTTTTTTGTCTAAATAATATTTTTGCCTAATTTTTCAGATTGCCCAAGAGTTGAATTGGTGCAATATGACATAAAAGATTTTTGTTCCAATATAAGGTTTTGAACTCGGAATTGTGTTTGCACAGGTTGCTAGCACCATTTATCTCACGTGGTATTTTAATGGAAGTTTTGAAGCTATGGATGAAGGGTTGCTCCATTATTGTTCTTGATGTTCCTCTTTTGTTTGAGGCCAAGATGGATAAGTGGACTAAACCCATTGTTGTCGTTTGGGTTGATCCTGAGACGCAGCTGCAGCGGCTCATGACGAGAGATGGTTCGACGGAGGAGGAAGCCAAGAGCAGGATAAATGCACAGATGCCACTGGATCTTAAGAGATCAAAGGCAGATATTGTGATTGATAACACTGGCACACTTGCGGCTTTGCATGAAGAATTCCAGAAAGTGTTAATTCAGATTACAAAGCCCTTGACCTGGACCGAGTTGATGCTCTCAAGAAAGGGAGCTTTTTTGGCGTTGTTCTCTATTTTTGTCGGTGTTGCTATTTGCCAGAAAAGTTCATGAAGGTAATATCTCACATAATTTGATCCAACACTATGCATGCATCTCTGGATGACAGAAGAGTTGGTCCTTAATCGAGTACTACTGTGTATGTACTGTTTATTTTTAAAAAAACTGTATGTACTTCCAACATGAGTGTTTGTGCTTTATTAGATGCTAGTTCAAGATGTTAAAGTGAAGTACGATAATTTGATTTTACAGTTGGACTGTTTCATTAAAAGCAGGGATTATGATACATTTTGGAATTTCTTTGGAGCACCTGGATCTGATGCTTATTGAAATAAACCCCCAGATACGGTTGGCACATGTTCATGTTCTTTTAACAAGATGTTGCATTCTGAGAAGTCAAATTTACTGAATCTGGCAACGTGACACTAGCTTGATCAAATTTTTTTTTTCTGTTGAAAACCAGTTCTCCTTCCATCAGTACGCCCAATAAAAATCATTTTCCCAATAGGATATAGTCATGTGCTGTACAAAATAAAGAAGACCCCAGTTGATGCTTGGTTTATGATAGCATCAAAATTTGCTGTTCCAATGTTGTCTTGCTTCCTGTTTCTCAGTGACTCCTCAATTTTAGCTAGAGGCATGTAATGTCTCCCAGGTTTTGCTTGCTTATTAATGTTATTCTGGTTAATTTGTTAAAGCCTGATGTGTTTTTCAGTAAAAACATCTTGGAGAACTAAAGATTCCCCTAATTGCTCAATCGTGGAATTTTCCTGAATGCCCTAAAGCTAATTTTAGAAATTACTTTGGTTTAGAGTCCAACAGAGTTTATTGGCTTATACCAATGACTGACTTCTATTGAACTAAAAAGGTTGGGAAGAAAAATGCTGCTGGGGGTTAAGGAAATCTTGCTTGCATTATTGCTGGCTGCTATACTAGTTTGTACCATTTCGTATTGCAAAATTCCTGATTCTTTGTGTGAGATCTGTAGTTTGCAAATCTTCAAGAACAAATGAGGGGCGTAGTGTCCATAGTTTTAAGTCTAGGTTTTTACCTAGTTCCTTCATTATGCGAGCTACACCTACGTGGAATAGCTCTTGGATTTGAAGAAGTATAAGGAGTGGGGGTGGGGGGACTTGTCAGTTAGAGGTTCGGCGACTGAATGATGGTAGTAGTAGTAGTAGTAGTAATGTCTCATCAAGAAAATGAAACCATTGACGTGTTATTTGATCTGTATTTTCTGTTCATCTTCTGAGACATTAATTCTTCTAAGAGGTGGCCTAACCTCCATCGTAATTCGTATAGTACTCTTATGTTCCAAATATAATGGAATGTGGTCGTAAATCTGATAATCGCGTGCCCTGCCGAAAAAAAAAAGGCGGAACTTAGAATAACTTCTTGAGTTGTCTACCTTTAAGTTGTGACTAATTTGGGAAGCTAGGAACTAATCTTTCTGTGTTAATGGTAATTTGATTGATCTCAAAATTACTGCAGTAAAAGCACAGTTAGAATGGAATGAGTTTTATTTTGTCAATTCTGCGATATTCATGTCATTCCTGTTGTCCCTGCTTCCTATTCTGGTCTTAATGATACCTATCCTAGAGGTTATTGTTTTTTTTCGTTTTTTTACGATGCCATGTTTCAACCGCGGCTGAGCTAGTCTGACAAATTTTGGCAGATATCTCTGATTGCTAAAGCATAGCTGTTTGTGATGCTTTTTTTAGGGCTGAACATTCGATTGTAATGCTCTGCATCTCCTATGAATGACATACTGAATATCAAGATGGAGGCCTAATAGCAGCGATCCTGCAATGTATAGTTTCAAATATCCTGCATGATGGTGACAGTTAGATAGCATGATATGATCTAGTTCATTAAGAACCAAATGAGTTTTAGATTTGGTAAATTCTAGAAATGATCATAGCCGATCGATGTACGCAATATATTCATTTCTAGACAAGCTCAGGCCTTTGCACATCAGTTTATTAATTGAACTCTACTACTATACATAAGAACATGGACAAGCCGGGCTACCAACAAAATCATCATTGATTTAATCAACAAGGTCTAGAGGACAGACAGCCCACAAGGTTCACTTTTACCTTGTCATCATTTGGGCATTATATACTAGTAAAATTTTAGGTAGCTTAGACAAAAATTTGGGCATTACCATTAATCTTTCCAAAATTTGGATGAATCAGGAAAAGAGAATTCCGACTCCATCAGACAAGATACCATATCATTTGTCAAGGCTAATGCAACTTTAATTTGGTGCTATTGCCTTTTATGGAAAAGCTTAGGACAGCTAAGACTATGTCTCTGCCTTCACAAATGCAGTTTATCTCTGCCTGAGTGGGAATTAGTACACATTTTATATTTATTTATTTTGACTATGGAAGTCAAGGAAAAAATAAATGTTTTCCTCGTGAACTCATTTTCCTCCAATTAGAGGAAAAGTATTTTCCCTGTCAAGTAGGGATGTACATGGACCGGGTTGGTTCGGTTTTTACCAAAACCAACTATATCGGTTTGGATTGGTTCGATTTTGTCGGGGTTTTCGGGTTTTCGGGTTTTTTTATTACATGAATATTACTTCAATCTTACTTTGTTAAAATTATAGATAAAGCTTTGATAAGTGAATATGTTTAGTAAATATGGAAAAAAATGACAAACATATGATCTATTAAAATATTCTAATAGGAGAATTTTTTTAGTAACACATGATAGTTATTTTCTTAGTCATCTAACAATAATTTTTCGTTAATTTATGCTTTCAGGGTTAATACATGAGAGGATCCCAAATATTTCTACATTTTCTAAAGAAAAATCACTATAAACTCTTAAACATATAAACAAAATTTATATATTTATATGTCGGTTTGGTTCGGGTTTTTTTATTCAATACCAAACCAAGTCAAACCAAATCTAGTCGGGTTTTTTAATCGGCTTGATTTGGTTTTTCGATTTGGTGCGGTTTTCCGGTTCGGTTTGAACACCCCTACTGTCAAGAAAAGGAAAACATTTTCCAAAACTCCTTCTCAACCTTCCTCATCCCCACACCCCACCCACCCCATCCCTGCCCTAAATAAAAATATTATTAATAGTACTTTCTTTCATGATATAAATAGTTTTTTTTTTCATTTCAACAAATGAATATTTTTTTTCATGATATAAAAAAGTATTTTTTTTCATTTAAACAAAAAAATACTTTCTTTTCATTTAGAAAAAGTATTTTTTTCATGTCAAAAAAAATACTTTCTTTTCATGATTAAAAAAAAATTATTTCAACAAAGTGAGTATTTTCTTTTCATGATGTAGAAAAAATATATTTTTTTATTTTAATAAATTGGGTACTTTATTTTCATGTCTTAGAAAGAGTACTTTTTTTTCGACCAAAAAAGGAGTATTTCTTTTTAGTTATGGAATACAAATTTCAATATTATTTTTGCGTAAAAAAAATAAAGCAGCACATTAGTAGTTCCTTTGGATTTTTTATGAATGTTTAGAGACTTGGGAGATGGGAGAAGGGGGAGGGGGCAAGGAGAGTAGCATAAAAAAATATTTTGCGGAAAATGTTTTCCACTCACCAACCAAACAAGGAGAAATAACTAATAAAACCACTCATTTTTTATGAAAACATTTTCTAGAAAAATAATTTCCATGGAAAAGGTACCAAACACAACCAAAGTTTAGGTCTGAGGTTCACGACTCATGAGGTATACTGATCCGATCCATTGGTTGTAGGAGATTTTGATACTACTGAATTATAGTGGGTGCATTATGATTAGGACTATATTCCCTGTAACTTATATTTATTTTAAGTCGGACTACAGGAGGGACTTGGTTTAAGTGACAATAACATCCTAAAATGCATAATACATTTTGTTATAATTAACTGGCGTGTATCACATAGAAGCTGTGGTCCTCACTCCTCAGAACAATATTCTGGACATATTCAATAAGTAATAAAACAAATCAGTAGAGAAAGAGAGATGCAAAAAGGTAAACACAACCCTTTATTTCAAGGGATAAATTTAGAAACTAATTTAGCCAACTTATAATAATAAATAACGCCGAGGGAGAAATTTATATTCAGAGTGGAAGCAGCTGTGACAAGTGTTTCCTTTTGAGTAGACAATTTGAAAGTTCCAAGGGGAACTTTTTTTGGTAATTAAGTTCCAAGGGGATTTATAAGTGCATTTTGAAAGTAAAAAAGGCATGTATCACTAGTGAAATTTGGAAATGGTAAAACGTATTCAAACCTGGAAACGAAATATTGGTTAACGTAGATAGCATGCGAAATTTGTTAAAACTCCATCAAAAAGCATCTACCATCCATAGCAAATTCTAACTTTGCATCTAAAAGGCTAACTGGACATTAGGTTATTTACGTATTAACAGGAACATATAGAATACAATCTCATGTACTGGCATCATTATCAAGCAAACACATATTTACTTGACATCTCTAACATTTTAGACTAAAGCCTGCACTAGTTCTGAATCTCCACGGGAAAGCAAAAATCCACAATGGAACCACTGCTGGAATCCGCTCCTTCCTTGGATACCTGCAAAGAATTACAAGAGATTAAAGAAAGGCTACTGCAAGCACAACGTTATGAAGAATCACCAAGCTGAAATTAAGTCCATAATCAAACTGTAATCGAAAACTTCAACTAAGGGAAGACAGACACGTCCCAACTCCAAAATATCCAATTGTTTGTTAAATCGTTAGTAAGATAGCAATTACAACTACTGAAAGTGTTGCCTAACGTGAAATCACGACAAATTCAAAACCTACTAGTTCATGACACACAGCAGAAAATGAATATAAGTAACTTTTTTGCTGCACCAGGACACAAACCAAGCTACAACACGAGAGAATTTCAAACTCCAAAATCTTAATTTCATGAAGTTACTTACACTCCTCTGAGCAGTAACCAGAATATCCCAAACTGCTGATTATGCCAACCCTTCAAGAGCAAAAGATGGAAATTCTCTTTAGTTCTAATCATCAAGACAAGAATGATAGTAAGTGTAGCAAACAGTGATCCGTTTCCACTGGCCTACCAGGTCGTCTCAGTTAAGAGCAATATAAACATTAAGATTAGTACTTGAAAATCTCACTTCTTCAGATTTAAAATAAAAAGAACCAGAAATTACCATTATAACATAACATTATCTCAATTTCATGAGTTTCTTAAAACCCTCTTAGCAATAACCTTAATATCCCAAACTTCTAATCATGCCCACCATCCAAAAGTGAAAAATGGGAGTTCCCTTAATTTCTTAACACAAGAATAATAGGTAATTGTAGCAACTGGTGATCCATTTCCACCTGCTATCAGGCAGGCTAGAAAAGAAATTTTGAAGGATCACTCTTAATATTAGTACTCGAAAATCTCATATCTTCAGATATAAATAAAATGAACCAGAAATGAATATCTGATATATAGTAGAAAGTGTAAAGATATCAATCTGCAAGTTCTAGTAGCTCTTTCTGTTCTGTCAAGGCATAGTCCAGTCAAGTAGTACTTTACCTGTACAGCTTTCTGATTGATGGTAATTACGGATCATAGCTATCTCATAAGGAACATGCTTCGACAGCTGAGGCTCTTTGGTGTTGGACATCAAGACTGTCAAACAGCTCGATATAAGGTTTACTCAGAGAAATGTTAGACTTGACTGCACCATCTATCT